AAAGGACTTCATCAAGTACCTCACAGGTGGAGGAAAGATCTTAAGCTTGTGTAGTTCATTTACATGTAATGTCAAGAAGCTTCCTTGGGATGGCAAATATTGCCCCTTTCCTGCTTCATTTGAAGTTAATCCAGAATTTTTTCAAGGAGAGCCACAGAATCTTTCAGCACTTTGTGAACCTTTTTACTTTGAAGGTGAGTGTTCTGATTTTAGTACTGACCTATCACTACTGATTACATCGTGTGTATTGTTCAGTGTACATGTACATGTAAGGGTGCATTCAGTTGCCCACTGGAAAAGGAATACAACCAGGCAAATTCAATGCACAGAAAGAATTGCCTGGCAACTGCAAAAGTGTTTGACAGAAACAAAATTTTTGAATGGTTTACAAGAGGTACAGGTGTAGAACAACAGTGATCCTTACAGACAAAGAAAAGGGAAATGCTGCTTCAAATTGTGGGATGAATTGTACTTATAACCATTTGGAGGAGAAACATCTGTTGAGCAGAAGGGCTGTACAGTGTAGAAGAAACACAAAAGGCACAAAAGATCAGCTTTATTGATAAGATGGTTATTAGAAATTGCAAAAAGAAGACAAATTGGGCTTGGAATGGTGTGGATGGACTATAAAAAGGTGTAAATGTGTGATATGATCCTACATTTGTGGATTATCAAAATGTTTACAAATGTTTGGAGCAGCAGAGAATATGCTCACTGACAGGTTATTGGAAAAGAGTATGGATCAGTGGAAAATAGAACTAACAGCAGAAGGACAGACATTGTCCTGTTGATATAAGGAGAGGAATTTCCCTGGGGGATAGCTTATTACCACTACGTTTTGTTGTGGCTCTCATTCCTCTGTCTGTACTATGGTATTGAGGGAAACAAAAGCTGGGTATGATCTGGGCAAAAGAAATGGTGTTTCAATCATCTTCTGTTTATGGGTGATTTAAAATTACAGTGTATTATGGAAAGAATGAGAGGCAAGTGGGTACCCTTAGTAAATATTGTCCGAATTTTCAGCTAAGATATTGGAATGGAATTCAGAAGATGCAAGTGTACTGTGCTTAATATGACATGAGGAAAGGTATTCTCGTTCAAAGGTATTGTTTTAACAGAATATGGCCAAACTATCAGAGGGCTTGAGAAAGGTGACGGGTATAAAGTACCTTGAAATGATGTATTAAAGCATAGTGACATGAAAGTGCCAATATCCAGAGAATATTTAAAGAGGATAGTTGCTTTTGTTATTTTTCCAGGAGACCAAACTGTTGTTGTACAGGAGGCAGAAACCAAAAATCCAGTTGTTATACAGTTGCATGAAGGGCATGGCAGTGCAGTGTTGTGTCTTATTGATTTGACATTTTTGGATGATTATCCCACAGTAAAACTGCAAGATCAGGAGGAAGAATGGGATGCTTGTTTAAAGAAGTCCAGGAATTCCAGGATAGGCTTGTTGTCAAATATTTTACAATTTCTAGGAATAAACTGTCAGCCACAAAATGCTCCAGAACTAACTCCACTTCTTCTTTTAGCGAGAAAAATAGTAAGTATTTCAAACCATGTGTACAGCTGTAGTTTGAAACTTATTGATCCAGGTAATTGTCCCCGCATGAGAAGGCATCCGAGTAACTCACACTTATATAAAGGAAAGTACTTTTAATATAGTAACAGTAAAAATATGCAGTTAGTTCACCTGAAAAAATCTTTTGCTTAAAATAACTATTTGCTAAAATGGGGGCCACAAGGAATCATTGGGTAATGATGATGTTTTAGCCCTAAACAATGCCAAACACCCTAAAGCAGCTTTATTGTGTCAACTATTACAAGACAAGTATACTTGATGTAACCAATGATAATTCAACAGAATGGTGGTAATAGGCCATTTGCATGATGGCATCATTTTACTACTATGACCAGAATCCTTTTAGTTTTTTCTTTCGTATTTAAATTCTTTTATCCCAGCAAGATTTACAACTGTAAATAACAAAAGCTCTTTTTGCACAACAAAACAAAATTCTGAAGGATTCTGGTCATGGTAGTAAAATGGTGTCATCGTGCAAATGGCCTATTGATTGAATTAATGTGGAAAATTATTTACTCTTTTAAGGATCAGGATAAACTATNTAACCATTTGGAGGAGAAACATCTGTTGAGCAGAAGGGCTGTACAGTGTAGAGGAAACACAAAAGGCACAAAAGATCAGCTTTATTGATAAGATGGTTATTAGAAATTGCAAAAAGAAGACAAATTGGGCTTGGAATGGTGTGGATGGACTATAAAAAGGTGTAAATGTGTGATATGATCCTACATTTGTGGATTATCAAAATGTTTACAAATGTTTGGAGCAGCAGAGAATATGCTCACTGACAGGTTATTGGAAAAGAGTATGGATCAGTGGAAAATAGAACTAACAGCAGAAGGACAGACATTGTCCTGTTGATATAAGGAGAGGAATTTCCCTGGGGGATAGCTTATTACCACTACGTTTTGTTGTGGCTCTCATTCCTCTGTCTGTACTATGGTATTGAGGGAAACAAAAGCTGGGTATGATCTGGGCAAAAGAAATGGTGTTTCAATCATCTTCTGTTTATGGGTGATTTAAAATTACAGTGTATTATGGAAAGAATGAGAGGCAAGTGGGTACCCTTAGTAAATATTGTCCGAATTTTCAGCTAAGATATTGGAATGGAATTCAGAAGATGCAAGTGTACTGTGCTTAATATGACATGAGGAAAGGTATTCTCGTTCAAAGGTATTGTTTTAACAGAATATGGCCAAACTATCAGAGGGCTTGAGAAAGGTGACGGGTATAAAGTACCTTGAAATGATGTATTAAAGCATAGTGACATGAAAGTGCCAATATCCAGAGAATATTTAAAGAGGATAGTTGCTTTTGTTATTTTTCCAGGAGACCAAACTGTTGTTGTACAGGAGGCAGAAACCAAAAATCCAGTTGTTATACAGTTGCATGAAGGGCATGGCAGTGCAGTGCTATGTCTTATTGATTTGACATTTTTGGATGATTATCCCGCAGTAAAACTGCAAGATCAGGAGGAAGAATGGGATGCTTGTTTAAAGAAGTCCAGGAATTCCAGGATAGGCTTGTTGTCAAATATTTTACAATTTCTAGGAATAAACTGTCAGCCACAAAATGCTCCAGAACTAACTCCACTTCTTCTTTTAGCGAGAAAAATAGTAAGTATTTCAAACCATGTGTACAGCTGTAGTTTGAAACTTATTGATCCAGGTAATTGTCCCCGCATGAGAAGGCATCCGAGTAACTCACACTTATATGAAGGAAAGTACTTTTAACATAGTAACAGTAAAAATATGCAGTTAGTTTACCTGAAAAAATCTTTTGCTTAAAATAACTATTTGCTAAAATGGGGGCCACAAGGAATCATTGGGTAATGATGATGTTTTAGCCCTAAACAATGCCAAACACCCTGAAGTAGTTTTATTGTGTCAACTATTACAAGACAAGTATACTTGATGTAACCAATGATACTTCAACAGAATGGTGGTAATTGATTGAATTATTGTGGAATTTACTCTTTTAAGGATCAGGATAAACTACTTCATTCCTTGAAGTCAAGCCTCAAGAACAATGTTTGCAATGGAAATGACCTCTCCTTACATTTTGTGCCAAATGGGCAACCTATTCCCAAAGCTACAGACACCTTGTTACCTATAATCACTGGAGATAAAAATTGTCAGACATTGTCATTCAACTGGAAGAAATATCAAGAGCATTTAAAGACCAAAGTTTTGGGTCAGGTGATGTTCTACACTGATGTAATCACTTCAACACAAACAGTGTTTGACGGGTGAGTTTTCGACATTCAAAGGTATTCATCAATAACCACTTGTCAGACATAGATGTCAGTTTGTTTGGGATGATTGCTATTATGCTTGGCCTGTCATCAAGAATAGTAAAAATTATGAGGGTTACTTGATGTCGCCCAGTGAGTGCTTGCAAAATCCCTTCAGATTATATCCCTCTAGGTCATAAATTTAATGTCAAAGTTGACTGCTGGCAATTTCTCACATTCTGTCTACAATGTATTTTCTCAAAAACGGAATTATTTTTTTCATACTGTTATTGACTGGCCATGATTTACACTTGGGTTATAATGCACACGAGACCTGTATGATAGCTGTTGTGTGAATTTTGACTGTTCTGGGGAACAAATTTTGACTCAGATTAAAACAGAAGTGTAACTGGGGCCATTTCTTCAGTTCACATCGGTAGTTTTAATCAGAAATGCAGCTATTTTGTCTTCAGATAGCTATAAACTTTGTTAACATTTTTTTTACCTTTGTAAATTGTAATTTGTTTACCCACGGAGCACTAAGGAGTTCATGTCCGTGCGTTCCAGATCGAATTGGAATTTGAAAGTGTTGGTTTTTAAGGAGAGGGAAAAACCGGAGTACCCGGAGAAAAACCTCTCGGAGCAAGGGAGAGAACCAACAACAAACTCAACCCACATATGGCGTCGACGCCAGGATTCGAACCCGGGCCACATTGGTGGGAGGTGAGTGCTCTCACCACTGCGCCACCCTTGCTCCCGACCTTTTACTTGTGTTTAAACAGCTATGCTGCTGCACCCAGCTACCTGTAAAACAGGATTGCTATTTAACAACACAGTTAGTGTCCCAATATATTTAAATGTATAATAAAATTATTATTGTGACACTAACTCATCAAACTGGTTGTCAAATATGTTACATGTAAGTTCCAGCTGGTTATGAGGAATTAGCCAGAGGATTGGATCCAGTGGGAAACAGTGAAATATTTTGAATGAATGAATAATAATGTTTTTTTTTTTCAAAATATAATAATTAATTAACCTGGTTGAATTTTTCAATTTAGGAATTACACATTTGTGCAAAACATCCCTGAAGATGTAGGTGTCATAGTAACTGCTGCACAGCAAATTAAAGGCCAAGGTGAGTTAATTAAATGAACCTATTTCTACAGTAAGCTACAAAAACATAATGTCATGCATTGTAACAGGTGTAACAATAATATTTTTTTATCTGACTGTTAATTAGTTTTATTAACAGACTGCCATTGGCCTGACTGTGTGTTCTCAGTTGTTATAGAAGATGCAGTTATTATTATTGTATTCAAGCAAAGAGGTTTTTTTTACACAGGTTATTATCTACATCTGTTGTTTCCCAACTAGTTTGTCAGAGAGTAATATATAAAAAGATTACTCTTTTCATGGATTTTAGAATCTTAATTCAACAAAAGATTTTAATGTTTTCAGTGATCAATCCTAATGGGTTCATCATTTATCTTGATGAGTTATAAAACAGGGAATAGTGAGTACATAATTTGTGAATTTTGTATTTTTAGTAAGCTGTCTTGAAAGTATACTTTAACATTCATCTTTAGGTCGTGGTGGTAATATATGGCTCTCACCAGCTGGATGTATGATGTTTTCTATACACATAAGGATTCCATTTGCTTCCAATCTTGGTCAGAGGCCACCATTCTTACAGCATATTGCCTCTCTGGCAATTGTTAATGTGGTCAGATCCAAGTCAGGGTATGAGGTCTGTAAATTTTGTATGTACATTTATAAAATAATCCTGCCGTTCTGTACGTGCCAGACCTAAATCGGATTGTCCATAAGAGGCAATAAAGGGTACACATATAAATTCATAATATTTTAGGCTTTTTAGGTATGGCTTGCACATAATAAATGTACATTGTGGTAAAATAATTTTGAATACAAGAGTAAATAAAAGTAGGAAAAAAAAAGATTAGTGGTTATAACCTAAGCTTCAGACTTACAGTGTACAGTACATTGTACACTAGATCTGTTGGATCTGTAGCCCGCATGTCAAACATTTTAAGCAGATTAATGTTCTGTGTTAAACATGTAGAGCTCGTGTAACGCCCTTGTGTGCCACATGAACATTTGTTGCTGAAACTACAACGGCATAGGATAGATGGCTCTCTATTACTGTGGATTAGAAATTTTTTGAGGAATAGAAGGCAGCGTGTCATGTTAACAGGCAGTAGTTCAGATTAGTCACCTGTGATTTCAGGCATGCTCCAAGGAACAATACTCGGCCCAATCTTATTTATCATTTATATAAATGATTATTTCCACAAATATAACATCAACAGTAAAAATCTAAGCTGATGACACCAAAATCTATCGTACGATCAATGAGCCTGATAAGGATAAAGCAGCCTTACAGCTTGACCTGAATAGATTAAGTGATTGGGCTAACAAGTGGCAGTTGCGCTTTAATCCTGAAAAATGTGAAGTCATTCATGCAACGCACAGTAGGGACAGATCAAAGCTAAGTTACTCTCTAGGTGTGCAACTAAAATCTGTTGAAAGTGTCAAGGACCTAGGGGTTACAATAAACTCCGTTCTATCTTGGGATAAACACGTCTCCTACTTAGTAAACTAGGCGAAAAAAGTGTTAGGTGTAATTAAGCGATCACTCGGAAATGATAATCAGTATGCCTTTTCTTGCCTCTTTAAGTCGTTGCTAAGACCTACTGGTATATACTCTAATATGCTGCCCCCGTCTGGAGCCCCTACCAAAAAAAGGATATTGAATCCTTGGAAACAGTTCAAAGAAGAGCATTGCGGTTGGCGTTAAAGGAAAAGCACAGAGAAATGAGCTATGAAGACCGCTGCGGCTTACTGAATTGGCAAACTCTGGAGAAACGTAGAGAGTTCTTATCTCTAGTTCAGTGCTACAAGATAGCTTTTGGAATAGATAGCCTTCCTTTTTTGGACTTTTTTAAACTTACTAAATGTAATCGAACTTGAGCCAATCATGACTATAAGCTCTACGTAAAAGTTGCCATCCTGAATTGCTACAAATATTCTTTCTTTGTACTGATTGTCAATGCGTGAGAATAATTTGCCTAAAGATGTTGTATGCGCAGGATGGCTGGCTTTATTTTGCAACAGATTAAGGATTTATATGAATATCGATTGATACAATAAAATTGTAAATAGTTTTAATTATGATGTGCAAATGATGTTTTTTTATTCTAGTTTTTTATAGGGTTTAGATTTTTCTCTCTGTATATAATGTTTTAGATTCTAGATTTTACCTTTTCATCTTTTATTTTGGGGAATCTTTTACACTGTATATAGGGTTGACCTAGCTAGATATCCCCTTTCGAGAGATATTTAATTTGTAACTTTAGTTTTTATCTCTTGAATAAAGTATTATGTTGTATTGTATTATAGCTACATTGTAAAAATTATTTTGTTTTACACAATGTCTGTTTTAGGAGATAGGCATTTGTCTCAAGTGGCCAAATGATATTTATTTTGGTGACAAGGTCAAGATTGGAGGTGTTATCGTGACATCATCTGCTATGAGTGGTACTCTGAGTGCAGTCATAGGTATATGACAATATGCATTTCAATACATTTTTGGAGAGGGGCTTACATGTATTATTTACCTTGGAATCTTACCATTTATAATCAATGTATAATCAAGTGTAACTGATTCATCATCTTAACCCTAGAAAAATTTCAATGGCATAAGATCCATGTGCCCTAGCTTTGCTTCAGGTCCTCTAATTGTAATTTACTATAAAACAGCTTTAGTAAATTTTTTTTAACTTTAAATATTTATTTTAGGAATGGGTGTAAACCTTGCTAACAGTAAACCAACCATCAGCATCAATGAGATCATATCCCAACACAACAAGGAGCATAACACCAACTTAGAGCCACTAGTTTTAGA